CGGAAGGAGAAGCGATTTGCCAAAGCTCAGCCTGAACGCCCAAAGGGCCAACTCTCAAAAGCAAGAACCTGGAAAGGGATTGCATGCACAAGGGGGTTGAGGTGCAGGATCCCGCCTTGGGTAGCAAGAGGAGATCCCCTGAGATTGAGGAGGGGAGAGCAGGTCCCCTGTCTCACACACACACACACACACACACACACCCCGTCCATCCAAGGAACTAATCAGGAGGCTTTTAATCCAAACGGCCGCAACTGCTCATCCCAAACTCTTCGCCCAATTCTCCCTAACCCCGGTGCCGCTGGGAGTGTCCCCATTCCCACAAGTAGGGCAGGATCCTTTTCCCCAAGTTGCTGCACCTAGAGGAGAGGGGAGGGCAGGCGGTCCTCCTGGTAGAACAACTGGACTCCCTTCTCCCCCCCAGAAGGAAAATGCAAAGTGCAGGCAGAGACCAGGTGGATGGGAAACGCGCTGGTAGGAATGGTGTTGCTCGGTTTCTGCAGAGGGATGGTCCAGCCAGCCTTCTGCAAATTTAAGCCGTCCGATCGCGATCGCCCACCCGGGTCTCGCTCCAAAGGACTGATGAGGCTCCAGCTGCTTCGTCCTCCCTTTTCTTTCTGGGGAACCCCTCCAGGAGAAGCAGGGAGGGCTGGATGTTGGGGCCACTGCAGCTTCCCACCTAGAAGAGCTGCCTCCATAAAAGTGGTCAGTCGGGGGAAGCAAATGTTGGCTGGTTCCCCAAGAAAGAGGAGACTTCCCGGAGCATCTCCGTTTCATCAGCTTTGGAGTAGTGGCCAGGGACCTTTGATGAATGTTTGCTGCCATTGGAGGTCAGCCAAGAGGTCTTCAGAGGCTGAGTTTCCCGATGTGGGGGTCTCCAGTGCCTTGACTGGACCCCCTCCCCAGTTCTCGGCCAGACTGGCCACAAGCTGAGCTAAATGGCTGTTCTTCCCAGAGTGCCAGTTGGAAAAGCCGCCTTTCCTTGTGCTGGCTTCCAGCTTCCATGATGCCCAGCTGGCTTGTCGAAGGCGGGGATGGAAGCTGTGGTCCATGGCTACAGAAGGGGCAGCCCCTGGTGGCTTGCCAGGCCCACCTTGACCCCTTCTCCTTCTGTTCTTCCCTTTCCCCACAGTCTCAACCCCCCTGGGCCAGGGCCGAGTCAACCAGCTGGGGGGCGTCTTCATCAATGGGCGCCCTCTGCCCAACCACATCCGCCACAAGATCGTGGAGATGGCGCATCATGGCATCCGTCCCTGTGTCATCTCTCGCCAGCTGCGGGTCTCCCATGGCTGCGTGTCCAAGATCCTCTGCCGGTACCAGGAAACGGGATCCATCCGCCCAGGAGCCATCGGTGGCAGCAAACCCAGGGTGAGTGAAGGACAGAGGAGGAAGCTTACAGGTAGAGGAGTGGGCCCCAAGACGCCCTTGGAGCTGGCCAAGGGTGGTGCCTATGGGGTTTGTACCACTCCCCCAATTCCTTGCCACTGATTGGCATGGAGGGGAGGGGAGTCCCAAGCACCTGGTGGTGGCCCTTGGAGTTGGATTTGCTTGGGTGGTGGACCAGCTCCCTCCCGCCCATGCATCCCCAGTTGCTTCTCTCTCAGCTTTCCCCAAATTTACTTTTGAGTAAACCAGAAAACAATCTGGTCTCTCCCCTGGAGGGAAGAGGCACCTGGCCTCCCATCCTTTCGGAAAAAATAGAAGGAAGGTGGCTGGTCAACCTTCTTGAGAAGTTATGCCTCTTCCAGGTTGAGCATGGAATGGGTTTCTTCTCTTCCCAGACCTCATCCAAACAGGCTTGGCAGGTCCACTGGCGGTGGCCCGTGGAGCTTGAATTTAAAAGTGCATTTTTTCTCTCTTTCTCTCTCCATCCGCCCTTCCCTGCTTTCTTCTGGAACCCCCGTTGATCACAAAAGCAGGTTGCCACTCCAGACGTGGAGAAGAAGATTGAAGAATACAAGCGGGAAAATCCTGGAATGTTTAGCTGGGAGATCCGAGACCGGCTACTCAAAGACGGTCACTGTGATCGGACCACTGTCCCTTCAGGTGAGAAGGAAGCCAGGCCACAAGGGGGTCCAGTCAAGGCACCTTAGAGATACCCTGTATTTCCTGAGCCAGCTTCACACTAGAAAACATCCTTCAGATTAAGGAGAAAACCTGCTAACTGGGGTTGGCTCCATTAACCCAACTGCACGACTTGACAACAAGTATCAACAAGCCACAAAACTGGGTTTGCACAACATACGGAATTTCATTTTAGCCTAGTTGGGCCAAACCAGCTCATAGGGTTAGTTTTGGGCTGAGTTGTTGTGCAGACTCAGAACATAGGATGAGTTGAAGGAAGATGAAGCCAAGTCTGAGCAACTCACCACATCCTGGTTTCTTCATATCTTCCTGCAGTGACACTCAGAAACCTCCTTTAACCATCATTCCACCAGGATTTGGGCTGTACCATTTCAGAGCAGAGGGAAAAAGTCTCTTTTAGCCAGGTCTGGTTTTGTGAGGTTCACATCCCTGGATGGAGAAAACAAAACTAGGACCGTTCTTTGTAGATAGGCTCATTCTTTAAAAAGAAAAGTGTGTAGGCAACATTCAGACATGACTGCACTCTTAACATCTGACAAGTGGCACCCAGAAACAATTTCAGCTTCTTATCTACGAAAACAAGGCCTAAGCTGGTTATGGTTGACATTTTAGATGGAGATCTGAGACCGGGCCCTTGTCCTGAACTTCAATGAAATATGCCAGAATTGTAAGATTCCCCACCCACCCTTTTCGCTCTTGCGAGTCAGAATTTTCATTATGGCCATTTGAAGATGTCATGGCAACAAACAAGAACTTCATCCCATTTGAACCTTTTTTAATTTGTTCTTGTAAGAAGAAGAAATTAAGGACTTTCGAATGAAAAGGGGCCATTTAAGGGAAGGCAGGCATGACACGAGGAAGAGATTCAGGAGAATGGGCATTCGGCTTTCTGGGACCCAGCAGAAATTGCATGGCGGGAGAACTGGGTTAAAGTCCCATCTTAGTTGAGTGGTGTTGCAAGTTAATGCACCGACATGATCTCCAAGACATTCTCCCTGCCGAACACGTCTGTATCTAATGTGCATATTCACCCATTTTTCTGGGCAAGCTTTGCAGAGCTGAATTCTTTTTTTTTCTATCGGGTTTTTAGCCTTCTGCTTCGTTGTTCGGCTTTCTGTCTTGAAAATAATCACTTGCAGGCAGGGGAATGGCGGCTAGCTAGCGTCCGAACCGAGATCCAGGAGAGGCCTGTTGAAAATATTGACTTTGGAGAGATTTGGTCATGGGTGTATTCCAGCCGGGTTCGCCACAGCTCCCGTGGCTGTGTTCATCAATGGCTGGGATATTAATCATCTGAAATAAAATAAAATAAATAAGGCCCCTTCTGAGCCTGCAGGAGCAGGTAACAGTGACCAAGAAGGCACCCCTCTTTCGGCATATTTACTCAGAAGGAATTAGCATTAAAAACTGCACGCAATTCAATTCAGGTTGCCTGTCAAATAACAATCTGTTAGGGCTGCTGTTTTATTAGGTGGGTAGCGTCTGGAGAAGTGTGGGCATATTAATCCGTGGCAATTAAATAGATAGCTTAAGCATTTAGGTCTTGTGGGCTTCAGTGGGGCTTTTCCCTAGCCAATTTTATTTCTGGCTCGTCCTTCAAGCTGGAGGTGTTTGTGGCTCCGTGGGTGCGTCTGAGTGCCTTTGTTTGCAACGTGACTCTGGGTGGCTTGCAATTTAACGATGCGACTCTGCCACTAAGATTCTGTCGTTTTTTGTTTAAATTGCCAAACAGGGAAGTCGAAGCATTTTTCATTTGCGGCCTCCCCACCCTCCAGGGGTTCTGAATTCAGCATTTGGCCAAATGGGACAAGAGTTCAAGTGTTAATGGGTCTCCAAAAAGGCATGGACTTTAGGTGGATGAGATCCAGTGGACTCTGTATTCTGAGATTCTGTATAACTAAAATGACAGGTTAGTCCCAGGGTCTGCCCGATGTCTGGTGGCCCCCTCTGCCTTGATGGGAAGCCCCCCGAAACCAGGAGCAAACAGTGGTTGAGTGTGCAGGGCTGTGGTGAGGACACCTCGGCTTCCAGATGTTGGAAACGCTGTTGATCCGCTAAAAAATGTTGGCATGGAATGGTTTTCAGCCAGCATGCTGGCTGGGAATTATGGGCACTGAAGTCCCATGCTTCTGAAGAGGTTAGAGAAGGTGGGCTTTAGCCCAGCAGACTGGGGCGTCCAGCTTTCACAGCCCCCCCCCCCCTTTGCTCCTCGTCCAAAGGAGGCCTCTGGAGAGGAAGGCATCTACCGGTCTTGGAAAGGAACGGATCAATTCGGGTTGCCCTTTGAATGCATTTCTTGGTGGGTTCAGATCTCTCCACCCAGAGGACAGGCCTTGCCCCAAAGCTGTCAGCGCAACCTCAGACAGGTTAACCATGTTAGTGTTTCCGACTGACTGGCTTAACCGTGCCACGGGGGAACCTGCGGGCAGAAGATGTGGTGGCCATGGAAGGTCCCGTTAGGTCTGGAGGGAGCTGGCATCTGTACCCACGCCTCTAGGCTTTTGGAAAGTCAAAGTTTCCTCCATTCATTCCTCCCTCTTTGGGGTGAGCCGTTCCCAGGACGTGGTGCCCCCCTTTCCTTCCAAAGCAACTTATATTTTCTTCTTCTGCCTTTGACTGTCTGAGGTTTAGTGAGTTCGATTAGCCGCGTGCTCCGAATCAAGTTCGGGAAGAAGGAGGAAGAGGACGACTGCGAGAAGAAGGAGGAGGACTGCGAGAAGAAAGCCAAGCACAGCATCGATGGCATTTTGGGCGACAAAGGTAGGCGTTGTTTAAAAAGAAGCAAAAAACTGTGTTTTTCTAGCTCCCCTCTCAGCCTTCCTGCTCTGTAAGGGAAACCCACATCGGAACATCCAGTTTTCCTATTTGGGGTAACTTTCTAGATATTCACCCTGATTTATTGTTTTCCCCTCCCAAAGGTCAGTCAGAATGCTATGACTATCAGTTTCCTGATCTGGTTACTTTCAATGTTTTCCTTCTAAAGAAATGGGCACTTTTACAAACTTCAGTTTTTTTGTCAATTGATGCCTGAAGTTGGCTATTAATATATGTTAAATTCAGCACCACCAGAACATGGGACTCTTGAGTATCTAGATTTCTACTTTACTGGCTTCCCTGATAGACTAGTTTTCTATGTTTAGGGAAGAGGATGGGAAGAGGCGTCTTTCGTACAAGAAGCCAGTGCTTTTCACCTTTGTAGTGATGTTGAAATGGTGGTTTTCTTGTATTATTTCCTTAAACAAAAATAAGTATAAATGTTTCTTGGTTTTAATTCATGCTGGTGGCCTGTTTAGCAGAATAAGTCGCTTACATTAAATAAGTGAGTCTCTGCCCCAAGCAACTTGCAGTTTAACAAAAGAGAGATCTGAGTCAAAAGTCAACAATAATTAATATTTTTATCTCAGTTACACATGTGAGTGGATTTTGTTTCATCTGGAGGTGCAACTTGAAAAATGTTATATATTAGCTATTTTTGTTTGTTTGAAGAAATGAGTTGTTTGCTTTAATCTATAAGGATGCTCTGGGGCAGGTGAAATTAAAGTTAGAATAAGACCTCCTTTGAGAAAGGAATAAACTCCTTAACTGTCTTTTTCTGACACCTTAAGGAATTAGCTAAATATGAACAAATTTGGAACTATATAAAACCTTGGATAATATCTATAAAGGGCTTTTTAAAATATTTTTTAAAAATGAGTTCCAAAGAGTCTGATTTTTTAAAAAAGTAAGGTACATTCAAGGCCAATTTAGCCCTTTCTCTGTCTGTTTCTTATTCTATACCATCAGGGTTAATATACTTCATGCTTAAACAGAAAAAAAGTGTGGAAATTAATGCATTTTCTTATTTTACATAATTTATTGGCTGATAAGGCGCAGGGTTATTAAACACACTTCTTCACTCACAATACTGGGCACTATCTCTGCATGAGTTCTTAAAACATTTGGGATTTTAGGGATTTTTATATTTCCCCTCCCATTTTGAGCCCAGAAGGCCTAGAAAATAGGGGGAAAAGGAGTTTTGCCTTAGAAAATTTCACACTTAAAAACCATGTTTGAATTCAGAATAACGGGGAACCAACCCAGTGAAATATTTAGCTCTGAAGTTGTGTGTGTGTGTGTGTGAGTGAACACACGCACCAAGGGGTAATTGTTAGGCATTAGCAAATATACAAACGAAGGGAGATGTTGTCTTCATGAGAACCATGAAGTCTTCGAAGGAATTATATTTAAATATTCCATTCTAGTTTTTATTTAAAACAAACAAACAAATAAAGAAGGCTCGCGTGAACCGAAGGGAAAGGAAAAAGGGCTTGAAAAACGGAGGCGGCTGTGTCTTCCTTCTGCGCAAATTCACCCCAAGAATTACAGCTAAAATTGGGAGAGACACAAATTGCCCCCCAGAGGGAGATCTCTTTCCTTTTTTTGAAGCTTGACTGATCTTTAAAGACAAATCTTGAATGCTGTTAATAAAAAATTAAAGGACTGGTTAGAGAATCACATCAAGGGGGAAAGGGCAGCCTCGTTTGGAGGCCCACCAAGGTGTTGATGTGTTACCTTTGGAATCTGAGTGTTTGGCTTCGTATTTTGGTGGGGGGGGGAGATTTGGATTTTTTTTTAAATTTTTTAAGCTTGAAAGCCAGGCTGGGTGGACAGCCACGGCTGAGAAAGTCACGATGGATCACTCACTTTGAGAGCTGCGTGTGCCTAAATGGATATGTTAAAGAGATCACACTCTACTGCCCGTTTCCCTTCTCTAAATGGTCCCCAGAAACCCTCTTTGACAGTTGACTGATGGGAGACATCGGATTCAATTATTCATGAATGTCTTTTGCGGGGGGGGGGGAGAGAAATCGGGGAGAGATCCTCCTTTTAAACTTCTCTCTCCTTTCAGAATAGGTTCTCCGTGGGTTGGGAGTCCGTTGAATTAGGGGGTCCTTCTGGAACCTGCTTGAAATGCGTCCCCTTTTCTGGCTTGCCTCAAAGGGGGGAACGACTATTATTTTTGTTAATGTTCTTTCCCGGGTTTTTTTCCTCCTTTTTTAAACGCACGGTTTAATATTTCGTTTGGGGGAAAGATGAAGGGTGTCGCTCCGACGGCGCGTCTGTCGTTTGGGGTAGGGTTTGTTTTCGCCGCGCAGTAGCCAAATCTCCGTCTCCGGGCGCGACTGCCCCGCATCCAGAGCCGGGAGCGTGAGACGGGTTTTGTCGGTCAGCGGTTGCGCTTTCGCGCCGGGCTTCCCCGGGCTTAGAAGAAGCCCTTCTCCTCGGCGCTGGAGATCGCCCGGTCGCTCCCCACCGGCGACGCTGGGAAGCAAAACTGCGAGCGGGAGGGAGGGACGGGGAGGCTTCTCTGCCGCGGGCCCTCCTCGCGAGGAAGCGGCCGCGTTTCTTCCCGAGGAAGGAGGAGCGCTTTCGCGTGATCTGGAGAGAGGAATCGAGGATTTTCTGGGAAGACAGGCTTGCGCCGGCCGCCCTCCTCTGTCTGCGACGGACGCTCCATCCCGGGTCTGCCTTTTAGCGAGCCCACTTTCCCCCTTCTGAGGTCCCTCCCGGTGGTCTAAAATCCCACGGGCGGGTCGGATAGAAAGGGCCACTGAAACGAATAATTCCCCACCACCCCGTCGTGATTTTTCCCTAGATTTGCGCGTGGTCGGAAAGCGAGGAGGAGAGCCCCGCGCTCCCATCGCTCCGGCCAGGCGCGGGGGAGGCTTCGAGGTCCCGCGTTGGGGAAGCCGAGTCCTCCTCGGCCTCCTCGGCCCCGGGGTCTGCCCC